TGTAATCCCAGCACACTTTGGGATGGCTGAGGGTGAGTGGTGGAATCACCTGGAGGTCAGGAGAAACAAGTCGAGACCAGCCCCTGAGCCCCCACACGGAGAAACCCCATCTCTACTAAAATAAAATACAAAATTAGCCAGGGCCTTGGTGGCGCCATGCCTATAAATCCCAGCGCTACTTGTTGAAGGCTGAGGCAGTGAGAAACTCGCTTGAACCTGGCGAGGTGGGAGGTTGCAGTTAGCTGAGATCACACCACCATTGCACTCCAGCCTGGGCAACAAGAGCAAAACTCCATCTCAAAAAAAAAAAAAAACAAAAAACATAGGGTCTCACTCCGTCACCCAGACTGGAGTACAGCAGTGCTGTCATAGCTCAATGTAACTTCAAACTCCCGGGCTCAAGCAATGCTCTCATCTCAGCCAAGTATAGTCCCAAGTAGTTAGGACTATAGGCACACTCCACCACACCTGGCTAATTTTTTAATTGTAGAGATAGAGTCTTGCTCTCTTGCCCAGGCTGGTCTTAAACTCCTGGCCTCAAGCGATCCTCCTGCCTCAGCCTCTCAAAATTTTTTCATCATTTAAAATATTGCGGTAACGTAGATAAAACATAAAATTTACCATCTGGCCAGGCATGGTGGCTGACGCCTGTAATCCCAGCACTTTGGGAGGCTGAGGCGGGCGGATCATTTAAGGTCAGGAGTTCGAGACCAACCTGGCCAACATGGCGAAACCCCGTCTCTACTAAAAATACAAATTAGCTGGGCGTGGTAGCACACGCCTGTAATCCCAGCTACTCAAGAAGAATTGCTTGAATCCGGGAGGCAGAGGTTGCAGTGAGTCGAGATTGCATCACTGCACTCCAACCTGGAAGACAAAGCAAGACTCCGTCCAAAAAAAAAAAATTTAACCATCTTATCCATTTTTGAGTATATAATTCAATGGCATTAAGTACATTTGCATCGTTTGTTTGTGTGTGTTTTTTCTTGTGTTTGTTAGGGACAGGATCTCCCTATGTTGCCCAAACTGGTCTCACACTCCTGGGCTCAAGTGATCCTCCCCCTTCAGCCTCCCAAAGTCCTGGGATTATAGGTGTGAACCACCATGTCCAGCCCATTCACACTATTGCACAACCATCACCATCAATCTCTGCCCAACAGAGTCGTCAGGGAGCGCTAACCTTCGAAGCATCCTGAGATGAGTCCCTCCACTTTGTCACTCGCGAAAGCCGGTACACTCTGCACCGTATAGGCCCAGCACATTCTTGGGAGGCTGAGGTGGGTGGATCAACTTGAAGTCAAGAGTTACAGCAGACCAGCTGGTGGCCAACATTTGGGCAAAACCCATCATCTACCTAATGCAAAAACTTCGGTGGGTGCACTCATTCTGTAATCCAGCTAACTTGGGAGGCTGAGGCGGAGAATCGCTATGACCTGGGAGGGGAGGTTGCATGAGAATCCGAACGACAGTACCACTGTAGCTGCCAGCTGGGGGATAGAGCCGGGATCGTCTCCACAAAAAGAAACAATTCGGGATACGACGCGGCTCACAAAGCTGTAATCCAGCCACTTTGGGAGGCCGCAGGGCGGTGGATCACGAGGCTCTAGGAGATCGAGACCATCCTAGGCTAACATGGTGAAACCCGTCTCTACTAAATATCTACAAAAATACAAAAACTCGCGCAGCCGGGCCGTGGTCTGCGCGGCGCCTGTAGTCCCAGCTAACTCGGAGGCTGAAGGCCAGCAGAAATGGCGTGAACCGGCTGGGAGGCGGCAGCTTGCATGGAGCCGAGATCGTGCCGCCCTGCCACTCCAGGTCCCTGGGTGACAACACTCGAAGACTCCGTCTCAAAAAAAAAAAAAAAAACAAAAAAAAAAAAATTCCTGGGCGAGCCAAAAAGATGGAGGGTGGACAGCAATGCTTGTTGCTAAGTGGAAAGGAAGCCAGACTCAAAAGGGACAAAAACATTGCATGGATTCCATTCACAGAAAAGGTCCCTAGAGTTGCCAAGCATGTTTAATTATTATTACTTAATTATTATCTATTTGATACAGTCTTACTGCCGTTGTCAGGCTGGACTGCGCAGTGGCGTAATCTCGGCTGCACTGCAACCTCTGCCTCCAGTTCAAGTGATTCCTCCTGCCTCACAGCTTCCTGAATAAGTTCTTTTGGGATACAGGTGCCCACCCCGATGCCCTGGCTGATTTTTGTGTTTTTACTAAAGAGATAATGTTCACCCAAGTTGGCCCAGGGTGATCTCGAACTCCTGACCTCAAGTGATCCATGCTGCCTCAGACTCCCAAAAGTGCTGGGGTTACGCACAGGTGGTGAACCACTGTGCCCGCCCTAGAGTTTGTTCCAGATTTAAAACAGACAGAAATAGAACGGTGGGTGCCAGGGCTGGGGGAAGGAGAATGGGAGCTGGAGTGTGTAATGGACAGAGTGTTCCATTTTGGAAAGATAAGAAGTTCTAAAGATAGGATGGTGGGTGGA